GCTGTTAAATGCCTGGGAATAGAGAAAGGTGCCAAACAGACAAGATACCTTGGTGCCAAAAAAGATGGCAGCGTTAGTGCTGGGTGAATTGCACTGGGGGAAGCATTCGGGAGTCAGAGGGCCACCCGGAAGGGACACCCTTGTGGGGCTCAGATAAGGATCATCGTGCTTGTGCACGTGAACACTAGGAGAGGTCTTCCATCAGGCATTGAGTCCTGAGCTGGGTAAGGCTGTATCGGTCAAAACCGGCACCTTGAATTGGGTTCCAAAAGGTGCAGGCAGCTGGGGCAAGAGGATCACATTTAATGTTACATGTTCTGATCCCTGCCATCAGTCTAGCCACTGCGTCCAAAGTTTTTGTTATCCAAAGCAGATGCAGGAAGCCGCAAGCAGGTTCAGAAATGGATGTGGCCGTGTCACCAGTAGTTCAACCTGACTTGCCCCCTGCCCCAAATTTTAAATTTTTGCTTTAAATTTTTTAACTGCCTTGAAATGGCTGTAAGAAAACAAAGGCAACCAAAAAAGCTATTTACTCTGAGTAATTATTTTCCACCCACTTCAAAATAAAGACGGTCACGCTTTTAGTACACTAACCTGTCTCTTAAATTATTTTATTTTAACATCTCTGGGGTGTAATTCAGTTCTATGAAGATGAAATTGATGGGAATTCTGACACCAGCATTAATGAAAGTGTTCTCTGAGTTGATACATTTTAAAGCTAGTGAACTGATGCTAGGATTAGTTTCTGTAAGGCACCATTGCAACATAAATATAAATAACATGACTGATTGAACTGATATCAGACTTTGATTACATGGTTGGTGGTTTTGTGGCTTGAAATTCAATCACCTGACAGGCACAATCTGCATATAGAATATGCTTTATACATAGGTGTTCCTTATCTGTTTATGATAAAGGTAAAGGTTTCCCTATGACATTAGAGCCCAGTCATGCCTGACTCTCGGGGGCGGTGCTCATCTCCGTTTCCTAGCCGAGGGAGCCAGCGTTTGTCCGCAGACAGTCTCCGTGGCCATGTGGCCGGCATGACTAAACACCGAAGTGCACGGAAGGCTGTTACCTGCCCACCGAAGTGGTGCCTTTCTATCTACTTGCCTTTGCATGCTTTCGAACTGCAAGGCTGGCAGGAGCTGGGACAGAGAGTGGGAGCTCACCCGCTGTGGAGATTTGAACCGGCGACCTTTTGATCAACCAGCCCAGCAGTTTAAACCACTGCACCACCTGCAGTCCCTTTTCTGTTTATGATAAGAATACATTAAAAAAATCCTTCCACTTACGAATTTCACACACAAGGAAAGCTTAAACAGCATCCAAGCTCTACTTTCTCACCGGTAATAGATTTATTCAGCAATCTTAGTGCCTCACATTTTGATTCAAAATATAGAATATGTCCTCTTGGTTTGCAATTTGAGAAAAGAACAGCCCCTGGTGTCTTCTTTAGAAATGGAGGCTATGTTGTTGTTGTTAGTCGCGAAGTCATGTCCGACCCATTGCAACCCCATGGACAACATTCCTCCAGGCCTTCCTGTCCTCTACTATCCCCTGGAGTCCACTCAAGCTCACACCAACATGGAGGCTATATCTAAACTAAATCAAAGGCCATTTCCGCACCCTAAATAGCCCTAGTTTTGAGTAGGTCAAAGGGTGGCAATGTGCCCTATTTTGTGAAGTACAGTCCTCTAACTGAAGGACCTTCCTCACTTCTCCATATGAGGCATTTAAGCTGCTGCTATTGAAGTTTCTTTCCCATTTTCATTGTGGGAAGAAGTCTGTGGTCTTTATATGGTCTTTTTTTCCCTTCTGAGGTATGTCTTGCTGCACTTTTCTGTATATTCCACTTTCAACCACAAGGTGGCATTGTGGCATCAGTATAATATACTGGAATTGTGATAAAACAGGAAGATTTCATTCCAGTTTGTCCAGCCTTTGAAATTTAATAGCCGACTCTAAAAAGAGAGGGAGGGAAGCCTTGGAAGATGAGGACATCATATAATAGACTAGCAAACGTCTATGAGTGAGAGATCACAAGTGCATGATAAATGCCTTGTGTAGAAAAGCCCTGTTGCAATGCAATGTATTTAAATTATAGTCAAGGGGCATTTTACAGTCTGACGGCAGTTTTGGTATAAATTATGTTGTGCTACCATAAAAACATTCAGAGATTGTGAAGAGCAGTACATTGTAGCTACAGCTTTACCTTGTAACTTTGTGATGGAGATGTGACCCAGGAAGTACCTATTTCATAGATTCACAGAATAATAGGGTCAGAAGGGGCCAAAGAGGCCATTGAGTCCAACCTCCTGTTGGTACAGGACACCAATTACACCATCCCACTCAGATAACTGTCTGTTTTCTTCTTGAGTGCCACTAGTGTGGAAGAGCACACAACCTCTCTTGGCAACTGGTTCCACTGTCGTATTGCTCTGACAGGAATTTCTTCCTCATGCCCAGCCTGTTCCTGGTGTACTGTAGATTAAGATCATTGTTCCTTCTCCTACACTCTGGGATGATTGAGAAGAGGTCTTTTCCTTCTTTGTGACAACCTTTGAGGTACTTGTGGAGCGCTACCATGTCCCCTCATAATCATCTTTTCTCGTGACTGAACACACCCAGTTCCTTCAGCCTCTTGTAATAAGACTTAGTTTCCAGGCCTTGCATCATCTTTGTTGCTCTCCTCTGAATCTCTCCAGATTTTCAGCATCTTTTTAAAATTTGAGTGCCTAAAACTACACACAGTATTCCAGATGAGGTCTAACTATTGTAGAAGAGATGGGAACCAGTACTCTCTTTTTCTGGAAGTGATGCTTCTGTTTATGCATCCCAAAATGGTTTTCGCCCTTTTTGCGGCTGCATTGAATTGTTGGCTCATTTTTAGCTTGTCCGCAACAACTCCAGGGTCCTTTTCTTTTTCAGTGCTGTTGGGCCAAGTATTCCCCCCTTGTCTCAGTGCATGTGTCCTTTCCCCCTAGATGGAGCACATGTCATTTGTCCCGGTTGATTTTCATTCTGTTGCTTTCTGCCCAGGGTTGTAGCTTGTCTAGATCACCCTGGATCTTTTTTTTTTTAATCTCTCAGGATGTTAGCTATTCCAGTTTTGTATCATATATAAGTTTAATTATCATTCTCGGGACTTCCTCATCAAGATCGTTAATAAAGGTGTTGAGGGTCACTGGTACCAGGACTGAGCCCTCTGGGACCCCACTCATCACCTCTCTCCACCTTGAGAGGGTGCCACTGATGAGCACCCTCTGTGACCTATTCAGTGGTAGGTCTACCTAAGAGTAGTTCTGTCACACCCACATTTTGCTAATTTATTTTTCTGGACGTTGTGTGGCATTTTATTGAACACGTTGCTAAAAACTAGGTGACTTATGTCCACAGCATTTCCTCTGTCCATTCAGGTGGTAACCCGGTCAAAAAATTAGATTAGGTTAGTTTGGCATGACTTATTCTTAAGAAATCTATGTTGCCTTCTGTCTATCACTACATTTTCTTCAAGGTACATACAGACTGATTTTTTAATTTGCTCCAGTATTTTCCCAGGGATTGAAGTTAGTCTGACTGGTCTATAGTTTCCTGGTTCATCTTTCTTCCATTCCTTGTAGATGGGGACAACATCCAGCTGTCTCCTCCAGTCATCTGGTGCTTCCGGTATTTGTATATGTTAGAACTCGCAAGGGTGCCTGAGGCCTGGTTTAAGACCAACCCCCAAAAGCCCTTGCCAGCGTGGTTGATGCTGGGAGCTGAAGTCTTCCATATCTGAGGAGCTCTTTTCTGCCAAGCCCGGCCTTGTACAAGCCGCTTTCTCCTTCGCCTGCTATGCACATTTCAGGCTCTTATAACACAGCCTTCCCCAGCCTGGTGCCTTCATGATGTGTTGGACTCCAACTCCCACCATTCCCAGCCAGTGTGGGAATGGGTCATGCTGGGTGGGAAATATGGGAGTTGCAGTTCAACAGATCTGGCAAGCACCAGGTTAGCTCAGGCTGGTTTGGGGAGTGCTAAGAAACTATGTGGAATTCTGAAGCGCCCTTGACACTTCTGTACTGCATTTTTTGCCATAAAATGAAGGCACCTGAGCCAGCGTGCACACAATTCTAATACTTGGCTCCTCATTCATCCTGGCATCTCAGCTCAAAATGGAAGAAATAGCAAATTATTGTCCAGGAGGGAGTCACTGGGGTGGTATAATTATATTTACTGCCCCTGCCGATCTCTCTGTGCTTCAGTGAAGTATATGGCTGAGTGCACTTCAGCCAGCAATGAATAATCGCCATCGCTAATAATTAATGTAATCAGGGAAGTAAACAAGTATGTATAGGTCAGGCAGAAGTAGTAAAGGCTACAGTTAATATATTACATGCAGACAAGAGTTAGAAACATAGAAACATAGAAAACAGAGCGAGTCAGAAGGGTCCTCCCGGGCCATCTAGTCTGACCTCCGGCACCAGCCGGCTCTGCTCACGACATGCCCACCATGTGGACGTCCAGCCTATCCTGTTAGGGTGGGGGTAAGGTTATAAAAATAAAAGATTTGGGAGCCCTAATCTCTGGGGTCCTATATGCATAGAGCAGTATGAACAAAATGCAAGACTTCCATTTGGGTGTTGGAAGAGCGATGCGCCCCCCCAGTGGGAGCTCTCCGGGCTGCCCCCTCCATGCTGTTTGGGAAAGAGCAGGAGCAGAAGAATGCAGAGGGGTCCCTGGGGAGGAACAAGCTGCTGAGAGCCCCCAGTGGACAGATCACATGGCCAAATGACGAATGAAACGGTATTGCCTGGAGAATACAGACTCTGTGCGGAGGAGAAAGAGTCTCTGTGTTGTAAATATTGCTGGAGCTGAGCCTTGGAATCATCAATGGCTTTATGCGCTTCCAGAACGGATGGTGCAGGGACTGTAGGATGCTGGAACCCAGGCAGGGTGTGTGAAGTGTGTTGACAAATATGTTTATTAATGACATTCTTTCCCCTCCTATACTACAGTTGTTCTACCAGCTGGAAGGAGATATGTGCCTGAAGATAATAGAAAATGGGAAACACAAGGACATTTACATTAAAGAAGGCGAGGTAAACAGGCTTAGACATTTACGCAGTTGTGGAAAATATATGTGTGGACTGGAGAGAACGGCACACGCAGCTTGAGGCCTATTTGTTGGTTGCTGCACAGCACGTTTGAGCATTGGACCGAGGCTTGATTAAAGGCCAACTGGGCCTTTAATCCCACAGCTGGTGTGTCCCAGTTTCAGAGGCAAATGACCCAGGCTGTAGAAAATGGAAAACATTTCCGAAGAACAATGCATGCAGACACAGGCGTTAACCCTGGGCTCTATCTAGAAAGCTGGGTGGGGGTGTTGCTGGGAGCAGCAGCGGCACGACTGCCAGACAGGGAACAGGACCACAGAAGAGGAGATGCCATAAGGGCCGATCCTGTTCTGGGGCCGATTCTGTTCAATCATGGAAACAGAGAAACAGAGCTAGTCCATCTAGTCTGACCCCTGGCTCCAGCCATTTCCACTCACAACATGCCCACCATATGCACGTCCAGCCTATCCTTGAACACCCGCACCGATGGGGCCTCAATGCCCTCTCGTGGAAGCCCTTTCCACACCCTCGGGGTCCTAACTGTCAGGAAATGCTTCCTGGCATCTAAATGGAACCTGGGCTCCCTGAGCTTTGCTCTGTTGGAGTGCGTCCTGCCCTCCTCTGCATGGGAGAACAGTCTCTACCCACCTCCGTGTGACATCCCCTCACATACCTGCATCACCAATCTTTTCATCAATGACCTGGAAGAAGGGGTGAAGAGACTGCTGATCGGATTCGCAGACGATACTAAAACGGGGGCATTGGCCACAACTGAGGAGCAGTTAAAGAGCTGGACTGGGACTTAGGAGAGCAGGGTTCCACTCGGCCATAAAGCCCACTGGGTGACTTTGGTCCTGTCACAGATTCTCAGCCTGAACTCTCACGGGAGGGTGAAAGTTGAGGCTCATGCAAGCCGACCTGGGTTCCTTACAAGAGGCATAATCAGGGCAATATTCTGCAGTGCTACAAAAAAGAGCAGCACAGGCAAGGAAGGAAAAAAAGCTGCATGGGGAAGGCTGCCCTTGCCAGACCCAGGCTGGAATGCTCCTGGGCTGCCACCAACACCTGCCGTGCCCCAGGTGGGACACGGTGCACTGGGCAGCACCAGCCTAGGAGGCCCAGTGAAAGATTTCATTTCACCAGCTTTGTACCTCAAGCAGGCCTTCCTCCTTTGCCATGGAATGTGGTCCACAGGGAGGAATTCCAGTCCGTGTCTGCCAGCAGAATGGACGCTGTTTGCAGGATGGAGCCTGCAGCTGTGTGGGGGAAGAGTAGAGCTGAATGCCCGTTGTGTGAGCAGAAGTCTGCTCCTGCAGTGCTGGGCACTGCCACAGTTGGTTTATTCGCCCACCAATGTTTATTTGGTACTCTTCTATCTCCCCTTTCCTGCTAAAGTGCTCAAGCTGATATACATGATCTTCCCCTTCTCTATTTTATCCTCACAACAACCCTGTGGGGTAGATTAGAGAAGAGTCAGGGACTAGCCCCAAGCCACCCCAAGTGTCTCCATGGCCAAGTGGGGACTCAAACCTGAGTTTTCACCACCCCGTTCCTGCACCCCCACCTCTAGACCACCCTGGCTCTCAGCATACTCCATTCCGGATTGCAAAGAATCAAGCCTGAGCCTGGAGTGCTGTGGCAGCGCTTTGCTGGAAAAACAGGGTTTCATTCATTCCATTTCCACACCAATCAATAGACCTTTCGCCTCGCAGCCTCATGGCTCTGATTTATATCGACACCCAACAGTTTGAGCAAGTCAAATAACTTTAGGGAGAAGTTTCTTCCAGCCCCCAGCCCTATAGCATGTATTTGCAACAACAAAGGAGAAATGCAGACAGATAATTGGCAGAAAACCCTTTGTGCTAGCAGCAAGTTTCCTGTTAATTTGTGTTGCTAGAACCCAAATTATACTTCCATTGAATATGTCCTGTAATCCACAGACACTGTGGTTACTTTTTCAGTTTAATAGTGTCTGGCAGCGGTTATACATTCTTGACTGGTTGGACACCTTCATCTGTCTACACATAAGTTGTACAGAATCGGTATCATTAACGGAGCACACAGGGCTGCCGTCTGGACTGCCATCTTGGTTGTTAGCATTAATGCAAGCACCGTTACCAAGGAACAGCTGATTGTTAAAGCAGCTGAAAGAAAGTTGGAAACAAGAAACAAAGACGAAATGGGAAAGGAGGAAATGAACCCATGGTTGGTGTTTTACTCAGGCTTTTGACTTCCTTCTCTTCATTTTTTTTTAAATTTCTTGGGCAGATGTTCCTCTTACCGGCAAGGATCCCACATTCACCTCAAAGATACGCCAATACGGTGGGACTGGTTGTTGAGAGGAAAAGACTACAGACAGAAACCGACGGGCTCAGGTGAAATAGCATCTGTCTATAAGTCTAATTAGCATCTGTCTTATAAGTCCAATAAGGGGACTGCAGGTGGCGCAGTGGTTTAAACTGCTGTGCTTCTGGGCTGGTTGATCGAAAGGTCGCCAGTTCGAATCTGCACAGCCGGGTGAGCTCCCGCTCTCTGTCCCAGCTCCTGCCAATCTTGCAGTTCGAAAGCATGCAAATGCAAGTAGATAGAAAGGTACCACTTCGGTGGGCAGGTAACAGCGTTCTGTGCACTTCGGTGTTTAGTCACGCCGGCCACATGACCACGGAGACTGTCTGCGGACAAACGCTGGCTCCCTCGGCTAGGAAACGGAGATGAGCACCACCCCCGAGAGTCAGGCATGACTGGACTTAACGTCAAGGGGAAACCTTTACCTTTTATAAGTCTCATTGGGAGCGCTGCTCTGAGAACACATTTGGTTGAAAAGCACGATGCAAATATTGTAACAGTTGTGGAAAAGGAAGTGCTGCAGGAAATATTGTCTCAGTGTGGTGCACCCATACAAGGACTGCATATTGAGTTTGTCCAGTTCAGTTCAGTGGAGGAAGCTGACCCTTCGCATTGAACTGAATGGGCCAAATCTTACAAGTTGTTGAGTTGTGTGTACAGTCAGGGCCCTCGCATATGCAGCACACTGACAGATCTGGGTTTGTGATCCTGGGCAATTGCAATTAAAGTAACTGGTACTGTCCATGTAAGCATTGTGGGTCCTTGGGGGTGACTGCTAAACGCCCCCAGAAAAAGGAAGCTCTATTTCAGAGACTGGGACAGAATGACCATTGAGCCCCCGAGAGAATAAAGCCTGAAAGGGCAGGCTTGAGTCTTTCTTCTTGGAATAAGTGCATGATTACAGGAAGGGGGTGCTTATGAGCCCGGGTTGTTCTCACAAGGGCAAATTCTTCCAGAAGCTTCTAATGAGCACAGCTGTATCTTGGGTGGGATTGTGGTAAGTCCTGCTTAAAAGCTTCCATTCCAGGTTGTGAGAATTGCTGGAACAACATCTTTCCACTGTCTTTCCCCCTTTCCCCCTCTTACGGATCATGGATGTTCCATGGCCTCCTTCGCTCTCCTCTGATGGCTGATACCAGAAGGTTCAGGGAAATGCAGAGCAGGAGCCGAAGCGGGGCAAAGATGGCACTGGATTAAAAAACAGGAGGTCAGAGTTACTTCTTCCCTCAGCAAAGAGGAAGAGCAGATGGACAAATTCTGGAATGCACTCTCCCTTGATTTATGATCAGTTTCTGCTCTTTGCATTTAGGAAGGTCAAAATGCATCTTTTTTTCATTTGTATTTTTAAATAGTTATGGTCTTTAAAGGTTTGGCATGTCTATTTCATTCTTTTTTTAACATTGTAAACCAGCTTGGTTGGTTCCAGAAAGGCAGCTCGAGATGTAATAAATAAATAGCACTATATAGATGGGAAAGCACTGGGTGTAAGGAGTGCTAAACTGTGGCCCCGTGTGCCTCAGAGCCACTCTTCTTGGCTCTGGGGTACAAGACAGGATGCCAAAGGAAGAGCGGAGTGGGTGTGATGAAGGGGGGAGAGCACTGGCCAGCAGGTGACGGGTGCAGAGCCTTCCCCCAGTGCCACTTCTGTGATGGAAACAGAAGGAGCTTCTCTCCACCACTTGGCTGTTGCTAGATAACGACCTGGACTTGAAGTGTTGGATCTCTGTCTGTGCAACAGTGCACTCCAAATAAAGTGAGTTCTTTCTAATCTGAAATTAGATTTCAAGATTTTCAATGGTTCGCGTTTTACCAAACTGCCAAGTACAAACATGTTCAAATCAAATTCAAAGCATGATGTCTGTATTGTTTTCCTGTGCATAATCCTTCAAACCACCTTTAGAAAATAACCACAACTTTCCATTGGATATTGTAGAACAATTTAATAAAGTTTCCCACCCTCCTTCATCAGATACTATGTTGGAGAATCTACTGATGTCCTTTTTGAAAGATGGTTTTACTGCGATGACCTCGGAACGCAGCTTGGTCCATTGATCCAAGAGTATGTCTTCTTTGTTTCACTGCACACAGTGTAGACGATTGACATTGATGATTGTTCTAATGTTAATAGGAGTTCTAACACAAAATGTATCTTGGTAGTTTTTGTGCTTGGATAACTAGTTAATTAAAATTCATCAATTTATAAAGCAGCATTAACAGAGGGCTATTTTGCATCATCAAAAATACTACAAAAATCTCAGTTCTCCGTATGCTCACCAAAACAATATGTAAACAAAGAGGTATCAGGAGAATTGGGGATGGGGGAGACACTGAGATTTGCCAGAGTACTAAATATATATGCATGGTATCCAGTGGGGAAGCCTTGAAAGAGGCTTACTGAGGGCAGCATGCTCAGTGCATACAGGACAGTTGCATGGCTGTTAGGAAACTGGGAGGGGAGTTATCAGAATAGAGTGTCCTAGCAGAGGCCATGATGCCCAGACCCCTGGAGAGAAGTGTTTCACACTGCAATGTTTTGTTGCTAGTCCCACTTGTAGCAACCAATTATCTAAAACTGTGAGAAGTTATGCATTATCCATAATTATCCCCTCCATGAAACTGCTGTACTGTTGTTTCATATTTTCATAACAGCTTAAAGTGGAAGAGAAAATGGGTGTTAGAAATGCTTCATGTTTGTTGTTCCAGGTTTTTCAACTCAAAGCAGTATCAAACTGGAAAACCCAATCCAGGTAATATAAACTGCTTTCAGCAATAAGGCAATGATTCAGCAAGAAATAATGACTTTTAAAGCATAATTAAATTTATTTTACTGAACTATCACTTTCTCACTGTTAACACTGCTCTAAATGAAATTACCACTGCATGAGAAATGTTGGCTTTCTTCTCCCTGTTTCAGCAGCTGACAATGAGCCAGACTTCAGGCAGAGGTTGAGAGAGTTAGTCTGACTCATTCTTTGCTGAGCTGTATTCAGCCAGGAGCTGGGGATCCCCAGCCTTCCTTTCAGAGGGCACCATCAACACTGTGTCTGAGTCCCAGATGGATGGGCACCTTCTGTGTTCCAAACATCCACAACAGCAGTGATCTCACCACTCTTGCCAAATTCTAGCTGCATGTAGCCCTCTTTCTATTCCTTTGCCACGTCTCCTCCTTTCAAGTCATCCGCGTCACCAGCAGAACCAACAACCTAAGTGGCCGCTGAATTCAGAAACTGGGCAGCCACCCCCTGGGGAAGCTGACCCTCTGGTTTTCCTGCAAGGTGTTTGCGGAGGAGACCTCCAAATTTGTTGTTGTAGGAGTTCTTTTTGGCTCTTGTGCTGAATCATCTCGATGCTAAGAGTGAAGTAGAAAGGATAGAAAATGGTAGACCATCCTTCCTCAGCCAGGGTCCTCTAGTGATGTCCGGCGTACCCCAGCCAGGATGGATTGGGGAGGCTGTGGCCCATATTGGCAGTAGCCATTTGCAAAGTTGATACTCCAAATAAAACTATTTTTCAGTAGGTGGGACGAGGGTGGGTACCTTCAGTCTATAAAACTGAATATTTAGTCCCAGTACTAGAAAATGCCATATATTTAGCCCAGCTTTTTGCAGGCTCTCTCAAAAGGCAAATTCACTTAGATCTGCACTATATAAATCATGTGAAGGATTTATATTTTCCTCACACTTCTTTCTTAGTTATGGCAGTTAGCCCTGTTGAGGCATTACTTAAGTTACAATCTGTGCAGTGGAGATGGCAACTTGGTGATAGATTCTGCCCCATTTCCTGTGTGGGGTCACCCTATAGCTTCTCTCCCCAGCCTGGGACCCTGTAGATGTTTTGGATGACAACTTCCAACGTTCGTGACCCTTGGCAATGTTAGCTGGGTCTGATGGGAGTTGAAGTCCAAACATATGACATGGACCTATAGACATTGGATCGGGGCACACCATTTCAGAGGTGTGTGTGTATTTACCTAGAGGTACATGAAAAATCTTTGTGAAGTTCATTTTGCAGATCTAACCAATTCAGACTTTGCAATCTCAGAAGCAGTTTGCAGCTGGAACCCGTTCTATTTGTATCCTAATGCACACTTGTGTTCTAGGGTTACTGTGATATCATTTTTATAGGATAGTCTTTTGGAGATGGCCATAGCTTAGTTAGAGAGCACAAACTAAACTTCAGGGAGGGTTTGTGACATTTTCTATTGTGTGTTTGTGATTTCCTGTACGCAGTTATTTTCCAGTTCTTTAGATGTCATAGAGGCTCTTTCTTTTTACAGCAGAGAAAATGGGGCAGATAATTGTGAAAATAAAGGAAACCACTTTTCTCGGTGTGTTTGCGCTCTTCTATATCTCAATGTACCTAGAGATGTGGTAGCTGGAAAAGAAATGCTCTTTGTTCACTGCTCAGATGTCAATTATGCAACAAAACTGATTGTAGATACAGCAGATTTACATCATTGTGTAGATATAACACAGCAGCAAGGCATGCAAAAAGCCCCAGCGTAGATGTGACCACTATTGGAGAGCTTTGGCTAGTGGATGGTACGCAAATACTCTGTCATGACTGTGAGCATCTCCAGGTAAGACTGAGAAAGTCTCCTGCTGAAACCTAGTAGATTTGTGCTCGCTGAGTGTATGCAATACTGAGCTCGATGTACCGATTGTCTTATCTCTTTCTATTTTTGAGTGGAGGGTCTTTCCTTAGCCCAATGATTATTTTAGATGGGATGGTCCACTCTAGGAATCTACCTACAAGCTGGCAGCTCCTCATTTTGAAAAGTTTCAGATGAATACTCTGTCTTTGAGCCTTTCAGGGTCATAACAAAACAGAACAAAGTTGTGTCTTTCTTAAAAAGCTTTACATGAAAAGAAGACATTTTGCTGCATTTCTCCAACACTCCTGTAAACGTGCACAGAAGGTCCTCGGTGGTTGAGTTCCTATCGTGAAGTGTTAGTGGCTTCCCCGGGAGGTGGTTGAGGCCCCATCAGTGCGGGTGTTCAAGGATAGGCTGGACGTCCACATGGTGGGCATGTCGTGAGCAGAGCCGGCTGGTGCTGGAGGTCAGACTAGATGGCCCGGGAGGACCCTTCTGACTCGCTCTGTTTTCTATGTTTCTGTGTTAAGAGAGCTCTAAGAGACTGTTGTTCTCATGCTGCCTTGCTGGGCAAGCCTGTCAGGGGAAGATATTGCAATGAAGTGTCTGCTGCAAAAAAGCCAAAAAGTGGCTCTTTTGAGAGTATTTCCCCCCAAATTGTATTAACAATATTGAAACAGTTCGTATTGTTTCTTCATCGGTAGAAAGAGGCTCAAGTATATGAAACCTGAGTGGCTCTTAAGCTTTTTCATAAAAGATGTGATCAATCAGCATCCTCCAACCTGGTGAACTTCTGAGGTATTGGATTGCAACTCTGATCATCCACAGGCATCTTGTGGGCTGAGGATAATAGGGTATGTAGTGCATCAGGACTAAGGGAGGCTTAATGCCTTTCTCAGTGGGGCTCCTTATCCACTGCAGCTTCTCTTTTCAGCTTTTTGGGAACCATCCATGGTGTTCCATAGTTATTTGGGGGATGAAGTTCAGCACCAAGGACAGCACCTGTGCATAAGATTCGTTTCCCTTCCTTAAATGTCCAATAGGAGTTACATCACCACAAATTGTGACATTAAGAATAATCTTCCACAGTTCCAAATCCCAAAGTATACGCTACTGACTTAGCTGGTGGGAAATGGTCCTTTCTTGTCCCTCTGCTCTCTACATGCTTTGGACTTCAATTGCCAACATACCTAGCCAGGTTGGCCAATGGTCAGAAATGGTGGGAGTTGTAGTTCAAAATACCTGGCTGGCACTAGCTTTGGAGAATTCTGCCCTAGAAAAATTGACCTTTGAACAACATGCATTATTGGAATGGGATGAGAATCAGTTCCATTGTGGGTTTAGCTGATACTGCCTATGTGCACCAAACGGCCACCAAATGGCTAGCCTTGCTCTACAGGGTTGTTTGCCCACCCTCTCCAGGTGCCACACTATGCTAAATTTCCTAGGCCTGGTTCATGCACTTTGCACATTTAGAAGAAGAATTGTTTAAAGTCGGTGGAAAGAATACTTTAACAACCCACCCATTCCAACGAACTCCTTTACTGATTTTGGTAACATGGTTAGTGAGTGTATGTGCTTAATGAATACTAGAGATGCAACTGAGACGCACTGCATTTTTCTGCATCTTACTCGAGCCATTACTGAAAAAGTCCCCAAAAGGAATATTGTGAAAGCACCCTGTGGCTTTTGAAAAATAAAACTGGGGTGTAAAGGGGGTTTTATCTTTGCACTTAACTGAATGCTGAAGTTAATTTCACAGGGCACAAACTTGGAAGCTTCAGAACAGAATTTGAAATGGCAGCCAGTCTTTCAGACTTTGGGAAAACAGTCTGGAAATGGAGCTCATTAACGGTAGAAAGTTGCAGTGGCTTTGTTTCTCATTGGCAACAAGTTTCCATAATGCCTTCAAATGCACGGTAGGGAGGTAATGAGCAATGATACTAAGTGTGTCATCTTGATTCATACCTACATGTGCACTAAAGCAGAATTTTTAAACCTCGGAAGGTGGGCAGGTAGATTTAAGGCAGCTGGTGAAGGGCAGAAGGGACTTGTACTCCAGTTGCTAGAGAGTGTGTGAGGAGTGGGCTGGTGCGTTCCTACCCTGCTTATGGGTTTCCCATGTGCAAGCGACTGGCCACTGTGTGAACAAAACAGCGGACTGAAATGACATTTTTCTGATCCAACAGGACAATTCTTGCATTTCTAAATCTCACTTGAACCAAGAACTCATTAGATCAGGGTCCCCAGTTTTTAAAAAAATCTTCAAGCACATCTGGTATTTCAAGAGTTTGAGACCTGCTGTCATAAAATGGCTGCCATGCAGGGGGTTGACCAGTCACAAATCCCTCATTCAGTGATTGCAGCTAAAAACAGAAAAAATAACTTATCCAAGGACCTAAGCACAAGACAGAGGTGGGTCTGAGCTTCAAAATCACCCTCTTGAACCCAAATAAAGATTATGCCAACCTCCTAATTAAGAACAGCAACAATAAAAACTCTTTCAAGGAATAAAATGAAAATAAAATAAAATAAAATCAGGCAACGCGAGCAGCATGGTGTTGACCCTCAGCAGAGCTATCTAGAAGCAGATCAGTCCCCGAGGGCATTGTGTTGATGACGTCATCCTTACATTTTATAAGGCTAAATTGCATGATGTGAATAATCCATGACTGACTACACAATTAGTTTCCTTACAGTCCATGGAGCTGACTTCCAGGTAAGTGTGCACAGGGTCACTGCCTGAAACCCCTGTTACTGTTTTTAACTGAAATGCAGCCATGGGGGAAACGAATTTGTGCACAGCAGCGCTGCTGAGGAAGAGGTGCTGAATCCTTTTCCCTGCTCTGTTTTCCTGATTGAAATTACCTCCTCCAAGTAGCTGCTGTTTGTTCCTTCAGGGGAAAAGGCAGGAATCTGTGCTTTTCCCATGCAGGGCAAATAACTCCTTGGGGAGTGGGTTGATTTAGATAAGGACTACACCTGGAGAGGAAGGGAGCGCCTGCAACTACAATGCAGTAATGCAAAATGAAAAGGACAGGACCACAAGACTGCAATTCTATATCCATTTGCCTGGGTGTAAGCATCATGAACTCAGTGGGCTTTCTTTTGAGTAGACATGTACAGGATTGTAGTGTCCATCACAGAGTTGCCATATAACAGGCTCCTGGCTGACCGCTGTTTGGAGATGAAAAGCACAAACGCTTTTACTAGGTGTGCTGCAAACAGGACTGTGGGAGAATGAACCACATAGTTAGATATACTTTGGGAAAATGGCTCATAACGATGGATAGTTCCTTAAGAGTTCAGATTAAAATCTGGAGGGATACACTGTTGGCAAATCTGTTGGCAAACTCCAAACTTGATTTTTAAATCAGGATTGTCTCCTCCGTCTCTGTTTGTAGATGAACTTATGAAAGAAATTCCTTTCCCACTCAATGATGCCAGGGTCATGGATCCCTTCTCCTTGAAAGACTGGCTGAAAGATCATCAGAAAGATATAGCTGAGAAGAAATCCTGGAGACTTTTTGGAGGCAACTTTGAAACTGAGGTGAACGCATTTCAACACTTCCAACACAAGAGACAAGAAGGGATTCTTTTCCAAGTGCATGCAAGGCCAGGCCAAGATATTTATGATGGCTGAGGCAAAGGGCGACCACTCCCCGCTATTCCACATTTGGACACTGACTAGACTAGCAGTTGCATCTTGCCTTAGCACTGACAATGGAATACGTCCTCCTCCACCACACCTGAGGTGGCAGTATAATTTAGGGGGCACAGGACAGCCTGTGCAGTGTATGCAGCTGCCAAGCACAGAAGGTGGCTGGGAGCTTGGAAGGAGAGCTGCTGCCAGCATCTGCCTCCTGAGGCAATTGCCTCACTCTGCCTCACAGGAGGGCCGGCCCTGAGTGAACAAGTAGACGCTCTCCTTCTGAAAGGCAGTCTTTTCCCTGCCCCAGACTCTTGCTGACAAAAGGTTCAAGTAGAGGAGAAGGAGTTATAAAGTAAAGATAAGCCACGGGCTGATTTCAGACAATACAATAACCAGCACTCAAGGGTTGAGAATGGCTTGAGTATGGGTTGCTGTTGAACGAAAGTTGTTATTGAAATGGGTTATTGTGTTGTCTGAACCCAGACATGCTAGCTAATCATGGTTTGTTAACACAAACGACCTAAGAAGAGAACATAGCAACATTTTCATGGTCAACAAATGATGGTTTGGTATCATTGCTTGGTTCAGACAGCATGATAAGCCACATTTCAACAATATCCCATGGTTCAGCAATAACAAACAATCAGCCCTTAAGACTGGGCCATCAGGTTTTCTGAAGACTGGCCAGGGCCTGCCTGAAGGGGAACAGGAAATCGTATCCCTCACACCTAATCCAAACAGCATAGTGTGTAGGTTGTTGTTTTGTTAGACAATCATGCAGCTATCTCTCTGGGGATGAAGATATAATAAAAATGAAGTACATAACTAACAAGTTGTCTCATGAGACCTAGATCATCTCACTCTGTTAAATGGTAAGTGTAACCCTGTGGGAATGAACTTAAGCAAGTCTAGCACCCAGTCTCCTTCCATCAGCCTAGATGGTTCTCCTCAACCAGCTGGAGCCCTCCAGCTGTTTTGGACTTCATCCTGAGCCAGCCTGGCCAATGGTCAAAATGTTGAAAGCTCTGGAAATTCTGAAAACTCTGGAACTATACATAGAAACATAGAAACAGAGCGAGTCAGAAGGGGTCTCCCAGGCCATCTAGGCTGACCCCCGGCTCCAGCCAGCTCCACTCACGACATGCCCACCATGTGCTTGTCCAGCCTATCTTTGAACACCCGCACCGATGGGGCCTCAACCACCTCCCGTGGAAGCCCATTCCACACCCTCGGGTATGGTCTATACATCACAGGCTGATGTATGGACACTGTGTGTGCTTGGGTGGACACCACAGCAAAATGTTGCTAGAGCCCCTGACCTGAAAAAAGCATTTTGGCAGGTGAAGGTGGAAGAGATTGCCCAATGCATTTCATATATTAGAACTAGATCTCATCCAACCAACAGTGGAAGGGCCGTTTTTTCTTTGAAAGACCTGATGTCTAAGATACACTTGTCATTAAATTAACTGCTGCACCTTTTAAACCTTCTCCTTTTGCTCTTGCATTATATGGTGTTTTCTCTTCTTTCCACCACTTATACCAAGTTAAAAAGTGGATTGCTATCGCTCGGTGTCTGACTGGCCGTTGCTTATCAGGGCATAGGAAGGTTGGTTTGTTTGTTTTCCCATGGTGCCACCTGGCTTCTTCTGCACTGGAGATGTTGTGGGAGTTAAACCAAGGCCTGCTACACGAACACCTGTGCACTGCCACAGAGCCGCAGGCCCATCCTATCCTACAAACAGATGCGAGAGTTATAATATGTGGGGCTCTATGCATGGCCTCCAGGAGCTGGAGAAAATGTGCTGAGCATTCTTGCAAAGACCAGTGCTGGAAAAAGTTAACCACTGTAATTCAGGAATCTTTGCAGAAATCTATTAGTCCGCAGGAGGCGGTTGATTTTGAAGCAAGGTCAGAAGAGAAGGTGCAGGTGGGTGAGAGAAAAGAATGAAGTTCCTAGTGCATAAAAATATCCCTATTAAGTTCAGCAATACAAAGAGCAGGCGTTTAACTAAGAAGAAATGCTTTACGAACCCAAGGGTGTCACGCAGACATGGGTAAAGGTACCAAGCTGGGAGTGGCAAGTTCAGAAGACTACAGGAAGAGAGATTGTGGCAGTGCAGAAAGAACTGTGGAGGTGTGATTTCCCCCACCACCACCGCCACCACCACCACCCGTATGCTGCTATATGAAGCCATTAGCCAGGCTAATGCATCTTGAGTGGTAGGCATGTCATGAATGGAGCCGGCTGGAGCCGGGGGTCAGACTAGATGGCCAGGAGACCCCTTCTGAATCGCCCTGTTTCTATGTTTCTATCTTCTCACAAATTATGTAAAAGAATTTTAGATTAAAGAAAGTGTTTCTCATAGTAATATATACTAAAAGTTATTGGAATAAAAAATACCACATTTTCTTGGTTTGTTTCCCAGGTTATAATTTTTGGATCAGGAATAACCAAAGAGGGAGGAAAGAATGCAGATATATGGATATGGCAGATGGTATGTAATATTTTTTCCTACTTCACACTAACTTTGCACAGCACTGTCTCAATTTAGATTTAAGTATAAAAGAAATATTACAGGCTGCAGACAGGAGTACAGAAAATTCTTTCAGTTATGAATGATCCATTAATTAGAAAACTCTCTCTAGATGGGTACAGCTGGTGTCTGCAACAGAAAGGGCCTGTTGAGTGGTAGCCCCTTGAGTCTGATGCCAGAGGGTCTCCTCAACCTTGACTGCAACAGGCCTGTTCACACATTCATGGTAGAGGAAAGCAGCCCGTTAGTTCTAGGCTTGTTACTGGCCAAGCAAGGCACCCTCACAAGCACGGCAAGGGAAGCTCCACCTGTGAGGGGAATTACGCCAACCTGGCTGGCACATGACCTGCATGCAGGGGGTGGTAAACAAGCCAGGTGTTCATGTGAATTACCCCATAATCATGCCCAGTACCTTTCTGCTGCCAGGCAAAGACCTTGATTTTTTTTTTTTTAAATAGTACTAGGGTTTTAAAACATTGGTTTGCATTGTGGAGTGCATTCCTTTGCCTTTAGTTTTAAATGGATTTGATGTTGTAAATTTATTTTTCCCCATTTCAAGTTCTTTCCATGGACTCTGAACTGCTGCAAGTGCCCAACCCAAACCTCTCGTATATGTGTATTGATTACTTATTTAATAGATTGATATGCCACAGTAAATGTCCATATGTAGAAGGAAATAGAAGCAAAAAGCAATAACAAAACAACCAAATAACAATAATGATATAAGAACCACAATAATAAAAGCATCAAAATGATATAAAATGAAATGTAAAAAGTTAAAAGATATTAATGAACCAGCAGGTTAAGCACTGAATGCCTCTTAAAGAAGGCCATCTTAATCTGGTGTCTCTCTAACTGTGCGCAGTGAAGATGTTTACATTGGCTCTGCTTTGGTTTGGTATAACTAGGTTCAGGCTAGACCCTGGTTGTCCTTGCAGGAATGAAGTGGCTGGCGGCACACCTGCCAAGACAAAGATGAACCTTTTCAGTAGTAACGGCTTCATAATTTTTGTCTGCTCCTTGCTGGCTCAGTCAGCCACTTTTCCAGTCCTGGGAAGTATTTCAAGAATCTGATGAAAAACAGAAAAGACTGGAAAAGACTTCCAGCAGCTGAGCCCTCTATTTTTCCAGCTGACATATCAATCAGCAAACTGCTTGCTTAGTTGATGAACAACGCCACAGAGCCAAGTCACTTCGGGGCAGCATCATTCCATGGAGCTGCAGACTGTAAAACTGGTCCTGTTGCCTCTTCTCTCAGTTGCTGTGTCTGGTTAAGAGAGGTAGAGGGTGGGAATCAGAGCCAATCTCCTTTCCAGCTGGATTCTGCTCTTTTGTTTAAATGGCCCCACAGGGAAGGAAACTGGGTTTAATGGCAGCACTTAGTGAGCCGAAAATGTGGAAGGGAGAAGGCTTTGCAAACATTTTCACCTTTTCTGAAATGCACTCTCTCCTTTTCATAGTTTTCACACCCTTTTGTGAAACAGTGTGAAATTCCAGGTCTTTAGGTGGGGAAGTGAGAAGGTATCTACATTGTCAGAGTAGCAACAGTCCATCTTCCACATCCTAGGGGCCTTCCACATAGCTGACGGAGTGGGTAAAGGCACATTACTGATGGGGACATTCTCTTAGTTGGATTCAAAAATGCATTACCATCTGGGCCTGTCTGAAATTTATTTATTTATTTATATCCTGCCTTTTCCCTACAAAGGGCTCAAAGCAGCTTACATCATTCTCCTCCTCCATCTTATCCCCACAACAACAACCCTGTGAGGTAGGTTGGGCTGAGCGTCTGTGACTGGTCCAAAGTCACCCAGTTGGCTCCATGGCCGAGCGGGAACCAGAACCCAGATCGTCTGAGTCCCAGTCCCATGCTCTTAACCACTACACCACACTGGCTCTCTAAAATCATTCTAAAATCTACTCACAATATTTATTTCATTTTAAACTGGTTCGAACAACCCCCTTCCACTACCACACATATTTTTGTAGGACTGTCTGTACCCTGTCAAAGCAGGACTGAGGAGATATTTGGTGAATTTTAGGGAAGACAAGGGAATTTCAAGAATGTTCACCTTATGAGGTGCCCAGGAGGTGTGTGTGTGGGGGGGGGAGGTGTTCTCTGCTTTTTCTATCATTTCTAAAAATAATTTTTAAAAGGTTAAAAAAAGCTTTTGGGCCTTTCCAATTGCAGCATGGGTGCTACAGACACATCCCAGGGACAGAATGAATTTGGGACAAAGCTATGCCATTATGCAGTATCATTATCATGGGCAGTCCATGTCATGATCATGCCAGAGTGGCCAAACCTGCTATGGTTAAGATGAAGAACAGAAACACCCTGCTCTCTGAACTTGCATGTAGAGGGAGGAGCCAGGTAAATGGGCAGAGGAGACGGAGGTGAGAAGACGTCTCACAACCATGGATCCATCCATGCATCCATCCTTATACAGGCAGTCCCCGGGTTACCAGTATGTTCCATTCCTCTTCCGGTCGAATTTGTATGTAAGTGGGATTAAGAGTGCAGGATGCCCACAAAACTGGACAAATCGGGAATACCTCTAACCGCCCCCACTCTATTCCTCGACTCATTCGTGCTTCCTCTTTGCAGCAAGGAAATGCTGGAGAATTCGTCTCTCCAGATTGGTGGAGCAGGAAGGCATGTTTGGAAGCCTCCCTCTCTACCCTTTTGCTTCCTCTCTCTCTCTCTGGTGATGCTTTGGAGGCCTTCCTTCTCTCTTATTCCACTTCCTCTCTCTCTATGGTGTTGGTGATTTTCCACATTATTATTTTTTAAATATTAGGTTTTATGGCAGTTCCGTTGTATGTTAGTAACTCAGATGTTTGTAACTCAGGGACTCCCTGTATATCATATAGGGGTTCCAAAGTCATGATCAAGTTAAAACGGGGTGCAGCAGCGCTCATCCCTGTGAGGAACTGGGCTGCTCCACAAAGTATCCCATACCATTTTTTCAGAGATGCTTTTGTAAACTTATAAGACTTCTGGTGGATTAAATTCACAGATTGGTTTGTTAAGATTTACTGTCCCTCCCTCTTCCTCCCATTCAACCAATGACAGTCCAGAAGAAATTAAAAGCCCATCTTTTTCACCCTGCCATTTCAGGAAGGCACATCTCTCGTTACCTTTGACAGTAGAACCCTGAGCCTGGCAGCTGGAGACAGCCTCCTTGTTCCTGCACAGACTAAGTAAGTTCAGAATAGAATTATCTGTCCAGGGCTGGCCATTTTTTGCTAATGCCTTTCTGTTCTCTCACAATGATTGATGCCTCATTCTCCATTCTGATTTCTGTTCATCCAGTATTCGGAACAACGAAGAGTCTTGTGGCACAGATGAACACATTCATGATGACATAAGCTTTTTGGGACTAGGCCCTAGTTCATGAAAGGTGATGCCATCAATAGATGTGTGCAGCATTCCCTATGCCGGAAGATTCTGCATTGTCTTTCGCTGCCATGGTCTCACTTAGAAATGGTCCCTAAAAATGGCTACATATTAAAAATGAGTCGTAAATAGTCCTTTTTTCGGAGCCCTGGTGGCCAGTGATTTTTGTGAGTGTGCCACAAGATATTCTGACTTTGATCCTAGAGCTTCACTGAAGACATGACCCACTTTTAAGTGTGAATAAGGGGCAGTGTGCACTGAAATAGCACTAGTGGAACTCTGCTTTCAGAGTCTTTCCGTGGTGCACACATCTGTGCACTGCATACATGAGCTGGGTTCTGCTTCCGCACATACCTTGGAGCCTGGCTTCCGCTCGTGCAATGCGTGGCTGGCTTCTGCGCATTTATTTCTGTGCCTCAGGGTAGTGGCTGCAGTGCATCACCACTCAGCCTCAGTTCCTCGGAGTGGTTTTATCTCTCATCTTCGGAATGAGGAAAATGGCACTGATTCAGGACTGTGAAGGACAGCAGACCTAATTCTCTGCTGTCTCCCATTCCATGCCTACGATATCCATACTACAAATTGCTCACCTATTTAGAAGTAATCTGTGAAGTTTGCTCTGAGGCCTGGAATGGGAAATTGGCACCTCAGGACTTACTTATATTAACTGCAATGAATCAAACCACATGTTTAATTTACACAATCCACTGACAAATGTTTATTCTCTGTCATGGTAATCTAACCTAATTATGGCAATCTAACGCTTTCATATATTTTGGCAACTTTCTGTATAGTTGATTGCTTAATTATACAATATTTCCTCAAAGCACCATATTATTTGTTTTCACTGTAGCCATTACTAGTAATTGCATTCTGAGTAGGAGGAAGACAGGACAAGTGGCTTGTTTGGTTACACTGTAACTCCACTTAATATCCTGAACTGCTCTTTTAGCATTGTTAGCATGCAGTAAATATCCTAAAGGGAGATTTTTTTCTTAGCTGATAAGGAATGCTTAAAACTGAAACCCAAACTGAAAAGATTGATGGGATAGCTTTACCAGGAAAGATACATCCATCATTCCCTGATTCACATTTAACCTTAGTTATATTATGCCACTGCTTGTGCTACAATTAAAGTCCATCCTATTCTCTATTTTTTGCTTCTTTTTAAAGGTTTCAGTGGACAAGAGCCGAAGGATCCATTGCTCTTTACGTTGTTCAAGATCCAATGCAAAAAAGACCATACGCCTGAGCTCAGCTCCCCAACAGTCCCAACTAGACTGATTCACAAAATTCCATTGAAAAGGTTAATGTTGTAATTTTGCAAAATGAGGCCAATTAAATCTGGAACGGACAAATATGGCATGAATCCACGATGAACGGGCATCACCCTCCCAAGCTAGGCAGAGATCAGTGTCTGCTGGCCAGCAGAACTCCCTCTTGGCTACTCTCCATGAGGCATCTATTCTGTGCTTGTGATTACTCGCTGTGGCTTGGGGTTGCTTTATACAACGGCACCATCCTCCAGGGCCTTTTCTGCGCTTCCCAAGCATTTCTGATACGTTATTTAGAGTGAAGTGGAATTTCCAGTGCAGAACAAACCAGAATGAAAGGCTCATTTACTGTTGCAGTTCCTCTATACTGCAGTGTCATCTTGTAGATGTGCAGTGGAATGTACAGAAAGGTGGAAAATGGAACCTCTCAAAAGAAGAACCTGTGTGATCCTCATCTCACAAAGAATCTGGAAACAGGAGACATGGTGAAGTGATGCATTTAAAGGCGCCTATAGAAAAGCCCCGGGGTCAGAAGGAAACTTCCCTTGGCACTTGCCAAGACTTACAAGGAGCACACTGTAAACTCCCAGCAAGTTGTGGTCCTTCTACTGCCTGCGATGAACAAAAGACCAGAAGTAGAGCAATGTCCCTCCCTAGCCTTGTGCTCTCTCTCCTTCTGGGTGGCTTTTCAGATTGAGGCCAGAGGCAGAGAGCAAATGAATGGGACAAGAGCAGGAAGCAGCCCACCCACTCAGGTCGTCCCTGCAAGCTCCTTCACACCCCCCAAAAAACGTTTTTCCAGCCTATCTTCCAAAGGTACTTCTGCTCTGTTGACTGTAGGGAAGGAGCATTCTCATTTGCAGCAAACAAGGCCTGCCTGTTTTTCGTGTGGTGGGCAAAACTTGAGGCCCTGCCCTTTCTTGCTCGTTCTGCCCCAGCGCTCTTTCCACTCTGCAGCTTAAAAATGGGAATCCATCCCAAGCAGATGCCAGAAGATCATATATTCCAGTGTTCCACTAGGAGTGAGCTCTTGGAGTATGAATGCCCAGAACATGCGCGCACGCGCGCACACACACACACACACACACACAGAACCTTTGGAACAGACCTGAACTCATCAACAATCCCAGATTTAATTTTAGAAGTTGGCAGCTTTTGGCATAGTTTGAAAGCTTTGATTTAAGGATTCGAAGCACTCAAAGGGAAAAGGGGAACAAATGTAAGCATCTAAGACGGAAGCTCGCAGAACCCTTGCAGCTCCTGCAAGCAAAGGCCAAAGGGTGTTGTATATTAAGGAACTGAACTGCTGCCTGGGAAAATACTTTCTGATCAAGATATATAGAGCTGGTGGATGTTTTGAAAGCAGCGCGAATGAGAACAGTTGATGAATGTACTGGGTAGGTTGTATGGAGTTGATTAGTGGGAGAAGATCGTGCTATCAATATTTCTCAGCCCTGGCACAAAATATGCAATGGTAGATGCAGTATATTTTCTAGAGATGGAACTGCCTGGAAGGAACATGGTCATAAACACTGCTGGCTTAATGCCTGAAAACATAACAACTAAATGAAATTAATGTGTAGTAAAGAATGCCCATTTCAACATAGCTAGGGATATCGAATCCGTGAGCACAACTATTTCCCCACTGTGCAGAAGACTCTAGGAAAGGAAGAGGCAGCTCTCCTTTGCAGAAGGCTTTTTGGCCGAGGAATGGAAACTGTGTGCAGCTTATGTCTGGATCTGAGCTTTCCTGTGCACAGCTGTACTACTAGAGTGGCCTAGTGTGAAATGAAGCAGGGATCCTGTACTTTAATACTTGTGCAGAATTATTTTCTAGTTTTTCTAGTATTGTATATTGATTGCCTATTCGTATTTTTGTATATGGTTTTTATCCTGTGCACCACACTGAGAGGGTATTACCTGCAAAGGTGGCCTTACCCTATTGTAAATCAATTTAAAAATTCTGCACTATCTGAAACGTGCAGGAGCCCAGTCCTCTTTCGTTAGGTGCCCTCTATACTCCTTGCCTTGTATCCTAAAGCAGTGTACAATTGGACCAATTTTGCAAGTCAGTTCCATATTTCCCATAAGTAAGTGTGCATGTAGCATATTTCCTATAACTGTGCAAATGGTTCTGTTTTAAAGAGTCTTCGGTTCAAGCTGACAGAAACTGCTTCCTGGATTCCATGATTTTTCGGCTGCCAGGAGGGCAGAGAGAACTGCAGCTTTCCTGTGCATTGCCCTTCAGTGTGCTCAGCAAGATGACACCTGCTGTTGTATTAGCTTGAACAAGTGTGAAAAGTTAGGACCAACCTATTCCTGGTCTCTTTGCTAGAATGCGTTCCTATGTTACTGCACTGGATCCAGACGATGTTAGTTGAACTTAGTTCCCATTGTCCCGTCAGTGAGATGGTTACTTATGACATTAATTTCAAGGGGAGTTCAGCCAATGTAGCCCTTAGTCTTTGTTCATGAACATGTTTTGATAATTAAAAAGGCAAGTTTCTGGGTGTATTTCAGCTCATGATTTCTTACCTCACACATATTTTCTTAACAAAGTTATTGAAAAAGAGAGTGATAGATTTTGGGTGATCTGCATAGTGTGTGTGTGTGTGTGTGTGTGTGTGTGTGTGTGTGTGTGACAGACAGACAGACAGACAGACAGACAGACAGACAGAGGGTACATCCTACTCCACAGAGAATCATCTTGGTCACATAGGAAAACAGATGCCCCAAACCCATATTGTAAGAACACAGGAAAAGCCCTGCTGGATCAGGGCCATCTAGTCCAGCACTCTGTATGGGATGGCAGACCAGCTGCCCACAGGGCCCTCAAGCAGGTGCAAGACCTCCTCCTCCTCCGGCTCCTCAGCAACCGCTGAATGCAGGCACGCTGCCCCTGCTGAAGGAGGTAGCCCATAGCCAGCAGGGCCAGCAGCCACTGAGGAGAGCCATCTGATATCACCCCACGTTACTCAGATAGCTGCAGAAGAGGACAAAGGCTCGTCCTCTGCCGCCCCACAGGGCAAGATTAGATCTTACGGATTTAAGCTACTGAAGAAGAAATTTAAGTTGAACGTTGGATCAACAGCTTGATGCTAAGCGCGGTTCGGCAACGGACCCAAGTACCAGAAGGGATGGCGGCCTCTCCATTCCTGGAACTTTTCAGGCAGAAGCTGGACAGGCATTTCTTGGGGGCGCTCTAGCTTTCGGTTTTCTGCACTGAGTAGGGGCTTGGGCTAGGTGGGCGATGTAGAAGCTTAGCCTAGGTGGATATGATCTGCATAGGTCAGGACAAAGAAAGCTCCAAGCTGGGTTTCATTCCTGGGGTCCCAATCCAGCTTTCTGGGACTTCTCCAGGGTCCAGCCCCACTTTTCCAATCACCCTTTGCTTGGTGGTTTTCCAGGTTTGTGCAGTTCCCACCCCCATGCTGAAAAGTTGAAATGCCTTTCCTGAGTTAAAATGCCTTTCCTGAGCCTTAGCGCTTGGCTGCATGAACTTTAACTGTAATAAGCAAATTTTGTTACTTTGGGTTCTCCCATCTTTGTCATCAGCTCCACCCATGACTAAGTCTCCAAGCGAGACTCTACCCATCGATGGAAAGACATGCTATGCTCTAAATGGAGACAACTCAGCCCATCAGCACAGATGCAGCACACAAGAGGTTCCGCCACTGGATTTGGTCTCCAGGGAAAAGCTGCCTCCACACTCACATGAGGTGGTACAGTGCCATTTCCAGAGGCTGTTGCAAGCAACCCCACTGGCTGCCACTCAACTGTGGTGCTTTCCGGCTACATCTCAGCTCTTAGCATCATTAGCAGATGGGGAGCCCGGCCTTCATGATGGGGGCACATCTGGGAAGGTGAGGCGGTAGGTACCACATCATGGTACCCTCTCCCCCTTTAAAACAAAGATGTTAACCATTCTGCTGGTACCAGCTTCTGTTCTTCTGAGTGCATGGAATTGTTTGGATATAAATGACTTTAAAGGCATTGAGAAAGGAAGGGAGAGAAAGCATCAACTGGAAGAAGATAAGCATTTATTTTGTGCCTGGATTTTTAGCGTCGCGACAGCTGAGTTCATAGCAGAGAACTTTGTGCAGCACATCACATGTCACACAACACACCACATCATCCTTCTTGCAACCAAGCATTTTCTCAAATACATTCCTTTATGAGCCAAGAATTGTTCAGAAAAGAGAAGGAGACAAAAGAATCAATATTTGATTTCCCCCCAAGAATCTGCTGGATTTCACCTTATATATGCAAACTTCTTTCCTTTTAGTGTTGTTTGTCCTTAGTACCAATCCTCGTAGCTGGCGACTTACGTTCTCTCTTTACAGATGGGGTAAAAGAGGGCAGTTATTTTAATCCGAATCTCTGTGGCCTGAACAAACGTGCTGTTCATTGGACCTGGGCTGGCATTACAGAGGAAGGGACCTGCTTGCCGGGATGTTTTCTTATTTCTTTGCTTGTTGACGCAAGGAACACAGACTGGAGGTTCAAGTAAGGTGCAGAGCAGTCCATGAGCCAAGAAACAGGGACTGAGGAAAGACAGCTCAGAGATGGACAAGGAGAGGAGGAGCAAGTAACGCTGTGCTGCACGTTTCTCCCACATTTTCCCAAACTCTTCCCGTTCAGAGAGATTCACCAGGCGCCAACGCTTCTTTCCTTTTGGCATCGGGCGAAAACCTTTTTATTCTCCCAGTATTTTAATCGTTAACCTGTTTTATTTAGCGGTTTTATGTTTTAACATCAGATGCTGTGCAACTGTTACTCTTATTTCTATTTTTATTTTATTGGATTAAACTGTTGTAAACTGTCCCGAGACGTCTGTGATGGAACAGTACAGAAAAGTTTTAAATAAATAAATAAATAAATTCATTGTATTGGAAAACAAATGGATTTTGGAAAGAAATCCATAGGGGAAGAACATTTTGGAGAAATCCTCCCTGTGCTCGCCTTTCTCTTGAGGCGACTGGGGTGTGGGTGTGAGAGCTTTGCCTTTCATTGTACGATCCCGGCTCTGCCAGCCTGCAGCCACCTTGGCTTCCCACCCTCCATGAAAGCCCAGGGAAGACCATGACCACCCAGGGTGGCAATTTCTCCCTAGGGCTTTTCCACATCACGAAGCACAGGCAGCCTGGGCCGCTGCCAAGCAATGGGGAGCCGTGCAAGAGGAAGAAAGTGCAGGCACGCGGAGAGCATCCGGACACACCACACAATGATTAGTGAGTTTTTGAGCACCAAAATGATTAGTAAGTTCAAGAATACCCCGGGAGGTACAAGTCGGCAACTCAGGAGGCATAGACTCCACTCCTGGGATTCTGCAGGGTGTCAGAAAGTGGTTTCCTAGCCATGTCTCTGCAGGATGTACCTGACTGTTGCACCAGTCCGAGGACAGTCCTCTGTTTGTGTGTCCAAAGGTGAAGAATCACAAGGAAAAGAGGAAGCAGGCTGTTGCCCATCAACAGCCAGCACCTGGAGAGCAACGTGAGAGAGCACGTCACCCAGACTCATTACCAATTCTTAAACTGGCCACGCATGCAATAGGTCAAGACTCAAGATTGCAGTGAGAGGATGCAAGAATTATATGAGCACATAATATTAGGAATGAGACCTACCTCATATAGGAGGTAAACCCAGTCCAAGGATATGCTATGTTAAAATTCGCAACTTCCTATAAATATATGCAAATTCATTCTTGAACAAAGACCAGGGTAGATAATGCTTGTAATTCCTGTTTGCCGTTATGCAGTGACCAAATAAAACAGGCTGTTGCCT